TTCAGAATCGTTTTCGTATACAATGATACCTATCATTGCATTCAAATTTAATCCCATCCATTACAGTAACCTACWGTACAGCAGAGCGACATCCACGACTTACCCGCTTTTTTTTTATTTATATAAATAGGCATATGTATATCGTATATATGTAATAGTTTAATTAAAATGGATTTACAAGTATACATCATATTCTGAATTTTAATAGACTACATCCTGTTTAAGTATATGTATAATATATTAATGTATATTTATATTATATGCATAATTTATAAAATTGTGATATTATTAAATTGATGTTTATCTGGGGAACAACTTCTATACGTTTCAATTATATGTATAGGTAAATTAATTACTTTATGCTTACAAACAACAGWACAAGGAAACTACCTATAATGTATAATATGATGCGCAGTAGTTTTTCGGTCACTGAATAGAGTAGACGGCACCTACTCTATTTAACCAGTATAATATAATAGTTACGTTTACATATTATTTATTATTTTAAGTAAAAGATAATAATAAATTAAATTTTTTGTTTCGCGTAATATTTAGGAGAGCTTGTGAAACATCTATATTTTATGTATTAGCAYCCRCAGGCCCAAATTTGTTGTTTTTATTTTCATATAAACATGRCGATCACGATGGTCTCTGAAATTTCTTTCAATCGTAATTTATTATTTTATCTATAACCGAWCAATTCAATAAAGTATATACTATTTAAGTGCATACAAATARAATAAAGCTATATATATATACTTATATATGATCACTGGTCAGTGAGCTGCACATTATAATGGCAGATGATCTGGACCAATACATAGACAGTTACTCCAAACAACGATGGAAAGTTTTCGTCTTGTTGTTGATGGTCGGCACACCTGGGATATTTAATGCCATCCAGATATCTTCGTACGTGTTTCTAGTYGACAAACCTTCATACTGGTGTGATATACCGGATCTGAAATCGGCAGGATGGAGCGACCAAATGATCATTAATGTATCCACGCCGTAAGACTAAATGAGAATATTTTGTATAAGTTATATAGTCGTTATAGATAACCGATAGTGAATATGTACTTAAACGGCTAATAGTAGGTTCAGACAGCACATATACATTATACATACCTACCTTTATTTATAACGTTATAAGTCTATTGTTTATTTGTTTTAAATATTGTTGCTATAATATTATAAAACTAAATACAACGTGAGTACAAACTGTTAAGAATTTGACTGATTTGAGACGAAAAATACAAATTTACAATCATATAAGATAGTAACTACAACTACCTACCTATATTACAACTGTCTGCAATCGTATATCATCGTAAATTTTTTTAAAGAGTWCTACAACTATAATATACATTTAGACATAGTTATTATAGCTTAAATCCCAACACGTGGTGGGTATAGTGGGTACTGGGCAGTGGCTAAAATTAGGCGTATGTGTACAACGTATTACGAGTGTTATACTCACAAAATTTCCATCATATTTTAATCAAATACTATATACATATATATCATACCTCAAATATACTTCCATTAATAATTATAATTATCTTAAAAAATATAAACGTTACAAACGGCTAAAGACCATTAAAAAAAAAAAAATGTTTATCAAAGTAAATGTAATATGTAAAATTATATTATTGATATTTACATTGACGGCAAGTTAACTCTTTCTTTAGTCCAACACCTCACCTCATCTATATGAATGAGAATATATTTTTTATTTCTATKGCTAAACTCTTAGCCAGTTTCTGGATTGACTTTAAGAGCGTTTATCAACACTTGGCACAGATACCGAAACACTTTAGACACCTTTAATTTTTGGGTGTCAAAATTTTTTTATAATTAAATATTTTATGTATGAATAGTTCGTTAATTGTGTTTAAATTTAAACCTTAAATAAAAAGTATTGATGAATATTCATTTTGTTTTTGTAACTGGTATTATCTTTTTTACTATACCTAATTTGTATAAAAAAATTATGCTAAGATATTACAATCTATAAGAGTAAATTATTGAAATAAACCCATTCATATTTCGTTTACATTTTAAATTTTTAAATCACTTCGGTCACTGCAGTTAATAGTTAATAGGTTAGGTTATACCTAGCTAGCTATATAGTATAAAACGTAAATTCAATAAATTTTTCAGAAAAATATGAATTAACATTTAACACTGAAATATTATACGAGTACCATGTACTAAAGAATATACACACACTTTCATAGACTTACAAATAATTTGTTGATATTATTTTTTAGATATAAAAAATATTCATCAAAAAAAATTGAAGAATGTTCCTATTACAATCAAAATTATTCGATATTTGCGAAAAATGGTTACAATTGGTCAATGAATAATTTGCAATCTGCAGATTCAAAACCTTGTCAGTATTATAGTTACAGTACCAGAGAATCTGTTGTTACTGAAGTATGTAGACATTTTTGTTTTCAAAACATTTACTACATTTTGTTTTATTAGAACCAATTTATACAATGTTTTAGTGGAATCTAGTTTGTGATAATGTATCAATGAAGTCCAATGTCCACGCCTCTATGGCTTTTGGAAAGTTTGTTGGTGGACTTATATTTGGTTCAATTTCGGATGTATATGGCAGGAAGTTCGCTTTCAATTTGGCAGCTTTCATTTACATGTTATCTGGACCATCTGCTGCCCTGATTGATTCATATGTATTATTTTTAATTGTGAGATTCTTGATAGGTGTAGCTGGATCTGGAATTTATGAATCATCGTACACAATATGTAATAATAAAAATCTTCATTAAAAATACAAAGATAGTATTTAAAAAGTTATACTTATTTATGTTAATTCTAGTAACTGAGCTAACAAGTGGTGAAACTCGTACTTTACTTTGTCTTTTGATGAATATGTCGTATCCAATTGGCTATGTTTTGTTATCAATTATTGCTTATTATATACGACCGTGGAGAATGTTGCTTCTAGTTTTGTCTTTGCCCATACTTGGATTGTTGATACAATGCTGGTAACAACTTACAGTTAAATTATTTAAGTTTACATGATAATATTTCCATATGTAYACGTAAGTTTAAATATTTGAATAGATTGATGTGTAATTAATTGTTTATATAATAAATGATTGGTACCTAATTAAAGTAAATATTTATGCATTGTTTAGGTTTTTACCTGAATCTCCTAAATGGTTAATGTCTCAAGGTAGGAAAAGACAAGCTTGGGTGGAAATGGCTAAACTTGTTCCAAATGCAGTTCATGCTACAATTAATAATGAAGTTGGCCAAGATAAAGTAGAAATTAGTAAGGTTAGTCAATTACTATTTTTTAAAACTCATGATTTATGTAATTAATTCATATTGCTTACTATTAGGTTATTATAGTTATAAGTTAAAAAAAACATTTAATGTTTTGATGAGTGAAGTATAGAGGGACAACGTTTTGCTGTGACAGAACCCTCCGATCAACTAAGAATTAAAAGAATTAAACGATTTTAAAAGTTATATTCCTGGTTTTAAGAACAATCACTAAACATTTAACGAACCAATAGTGAATAGTATACCAATTTAGTCGATCATGATTGGCATTTTTTAATGAATTAATACATTTTTCATGMAATTTGCCATGTTCATGACTAATTGACTAATCGTTYGAAACTTAATTTTTATATCCTAAAATTCTCTACAACATATTAATTTCTCTATTCTCCACATAAATTTCACTATATGGTACCTATTATTAGTGACAATAATATACAATATGCTCATTGTTTATAATAATTTGTATTATTATATATATAACATATCAATGTATTATCGATATTTTTTAATCTTCCACATTTTGTGTAAGATTTTTAATGGCTACTTTTATAAAAAAATATGTTTTGTTTAAACAAAGTASACAAAAAATTGTAATGAAAAATATATGGAAATCTTGTCAGCATACACGTCATTGTTTTCTACGCCGGACTTGTCAATAAAAACAGTTATTTCATTATTTTGTGGATTATCTTGTGGATTATCATATTATGTTATTGGTAAGTTATAGACTATTATTATATTTTATGTTCATATAGTGTAAGGATATAACGTATTTTTTCGGGTTAATATAATCTTAAATATTCTAAAATAAATAAATCTTAAAATATTTTAAAATATTTTTAAGAAATCCAATTAATTTTGTTTATGGTATTAATTATACTTCATAGCATTGAACGGGGATAATATAACTGCTGATCGTTACATATATGTTGCGTTGAACGGAGTTGTTGAAGGTGTGTCATACGCGTTAACGGTTCCTTTATTTCTTTATGTTGGACGCAAAAAAGCAGTTTCGTCCTTTTTTTTCGCATCAGGACTACTACAACTGACATTATTGGCAATACCACTTGGTATTAAATATATTTAAAAACATGAATTGCTTGTACCATTATGTTTTTAATATTATGTATTTATTTTTTTTGTTCTCAGAAAAAGCAAACATTTTATTATGCATGACTTTAATTGGAAAATTTTTCGTGAGTGCCTTATTTTCAGCCATTGTACTTTACATATCAGAATTATATCCAACTACAATCAGAAATACTGGTATCGGAATATTATTGACTTTTTCTCAAATAGGATCTATTATCGCACCATATATAGTCGAACTATTGGGTATATAAATAATGACAATTGACAATCGTTCATTATTACGATATTTAGTTATTTAAAATGAACGTTTTCAATTTTTCATCTATATTTTTATATTTTAAGGGAGCTAAGGCATGGTATATTCCAAGTACAGTGTGTGGGGCACTTGGGATTTTTGTTTCAAGCTTGGTTCTGATGTTGCCGGAGACAAAGAAGACAGTTTTACCAAATACCATAGAAGATATGAAAAACTCTAATTCCGCCAAACTTAGCAATTGTTTTAAATTTTAATTTTTAAAAGGCTTTATCCGATTTCTTTTCTTTCTCGTACAGCAATTTTATTTTTATATGCACTTATAAATGTACACACAGTTCATAATTGGCAGTTAAAGTTTGAAGTTGAAAAGGTAAACTTATTACATACAATGTTTAGATAATTAGAATAGATGTATTTTATTWGCTTGAAGAAGGAGGATGGAAAACCATAATTATAAACATTTTAATAATATCTATTATTCACTGAAAAAAAAATTCTACAGTTTTGTTATGAATAAATAGTTAGTTTACTTTTATTACAACATATATAGCTCATTTAAACATTATTGTACCATTGATTATARATAGGTATCTAATAGCATTTATAATAAATGGTTGTATACAATATACAGTATACAGTATAAATTGTAATACTGAACGTCTATACATATATAAGCAGTAACGCRCTGCACTGTACCTATATGTTATTTAAATTATTTTAAAATGTTGTATAAATTAGGTAACATGGATTGGGATATGAAAGTAAGCAATATAAGTACTTGAAAATATATATTATGTGCTATGCGCATTGTTTGTTTGTAGAACATCGTAAATATTAATGTCTCTAGTTAAATTTTAAATCAATATTTTCTATACATTTTTGTAATTTTTCATTATGAAACATGATTATTATCAACGATGCAATTATATATAATATTAATTTTCTTTTTTTATTATATCATTAAAATATTTTGTTATTTTTAAATTTTACTCTAAACACGTTAATATTAAACATTCTTACTGAGGAACACACATTAAAAATAATTATTAAATAAACAGTGTAATTCAAAATATAGGTGACTATGGGGCATGGAGAACATAGCATGAAGATAGTCTATTATTAAATAAAATTTTTTAAAATTAAAACTTTAAGGCTTCGGTTACACGAGCGTTGAAAGAACGGACATTAACTGTTAAGTTATAATCGGACGTCGACCGAACGGTAAATCCGACGGACGTCAAGTGTGTGACCGTCGTGCAGTAAATCACATAATTTATTCAACAATAGTCAGTAAAACGCTCGGGTGACCGAGGCCTAAAATGTTTGTTAAATTATTAACGATATTTTTCTTTAAAATGTATAAAATCTTATATATTTCAATATTTGTGCCGAGCTACTTGTAACTTGTCTATTACAGACGGAATTTCCAGTATACCTATCAATAAAGTTATTTTTCTTAATATTATTCTAATATTATATTTTATTAAAACATAATATTTAAATATTTTTAAATTATTTTAAACATACAAAGTAATCCTTTTATCATTTTTATCATTAAACCGCCTATTACTTTTAAAATTTTAACTTTTTTGAAAATATTTCCAACAAAATTTAATKTCATTAAAAACTACATTTTTTTAATGTTTTTAAAATATATTTTCTAAATGTTGTTCTTTTTCCCTTAGTTTTTTTGTTAGTTATTTATTTACTTGTGCAACTTCTAACTATTATTAGTTTCTATCACCTGTACACTTTTTAACTTAAATTCTAATTTAATAATCGTGATTATTATAAWATCCCTAGATATAGATAACGCAAGTTAGGAATATCTTATTGTAATAAAAGAAAAACTTATGTAATATCAACTAACCACAAATATTCTAATTTATCATAGATAATATATAGTCTATATAATATATTATATATTATCTATGTAATTTATAGCTTACGTTTCATAACCTATATTTTATTATGTTTTAATGTTAATCATTTTAAACTTTAGTTATAACATTCATCATACATTTTTTTCATAAACCTCTTATAGGTACCATATACTAAATAAATATTTATAAAAATGTCATTATTTTTGTAGGTGATAAATTGATATATAATATATAAACATTATAAACGTATATCATTGAATTATCGAGTAACTTGTAACTTAAAAGGCAGTTAACAATTTCCAAAATATCTTGGAGCTAAAGATATTTTTACACAATTTTAGTATAACTTGCCCATTATATTTGC